ATATGTATATATGCATATATGTACGTGTGTGTGTGTTGATGAAGATGTATGTATTTATTTGAAAGCTGGAGTTACATAGAGAGGAAATGGATGAGAGTGAGAGATCCTCCATCTATTGGTCAATTACACAAACAGCTGCAACAGCCAGGTATGAGTCTGGCTGAAGCCAAAAGCCAGGAATTCCATTTTGGTCTCCCCGATGGGTGCAGGAAGTAAAGTACCTGGACCATCTTCCAATGCCTTACCAGACACATTACAGCAAGGGGCTGGGTGGGAAGTAGAACAAGCAGGATTCAAACCTGTGCTCGATTATGGGATTCCGGCATCACCAGAATCCTGCATACCGGCCCAAGGGAAAAATCTATTCGTTTTTATGATTTGTTAATTTTTATTTGTAGGGAAGGTTTACAGAGATAAGCAGAGACAAAGAGAGCAAGAGGAAGAGAGAGAGAGACAGAGACAGAAAGAGAGAGATCTTCTATCCACTGATTAACTCCCCAAATTGTTGCAGTGGCTGAAGCTGAGCCGATCTGAAGCCAGGAGCTTCCTTTGGTACTCCCACACAGGTATAGGGCCCCAAGGCCTTGAAACATCCTCTGCTACTTTCCCAGGCCACAAGCAGGGAGCTTAATGGGAAGTGGAGCAGCTGGGACATGAATCAGTGCCCACAGGGGATGCTGAAACTGTAAGCAAAATATTAACAGCAAGTGCTATGCCATCCTGCTGGCCCTAGGATAAAATCTATTCTTCCGAGAACATGAAGAGAAGGGAAATCAACAGAACAGTCTGTGGAGCAGTTACTGGGGTTATTTTTCAAGGAGGAAGAAGTGGCCAAGAGTCCAGTGCTTCTGAAAGATCAGAGCAGATAAGAACAGGAAGCATCCTTTGGTTTTGGGAACCCAGAATTAACTGGTGCCTGGGCAAGGGCAGTTTTCGTGGTGCGATGGAACAGAAATCAGATCTCCTGAAAACAGAATGGGAGATGAGAAAAAGATAACAGGACTCATGTCCAACTATTAGATAGTATGACATAGGACCCTGTGCTGTAGCCCAGCGGCTAAAGTCCTCACATTGCATGCGCCAGGATCCCATATGGGCACTGGTTCTAAACCTGGCAGTGCCGTTTCCCATCCAGCTCCCTGCTTCTGGCCTGGGAGGGCAGTGAAGATAGCCCAAAGCCTTGGGACCCTGTAACCGTGTGGGAGACCCAGAAGAAGCTCCTGGCTCCTAACTTCAGATCAGCTCAGCTCTGGCCATTAGGGTCACTTGGGGAGCAAATCAACAGGCAGAAGATGTTCCTCTCTGTCTCTCCTCCTCTCCGTATATATGACTTACTAATTAAAAAAATAATAATAAATCTTTTAAAAGAATCCGGTGTGACACAGCTGAAATCTGACAGTTTTAATGCACAAAATCAGTAATTTCATGAATTTTAAGTTTCACAGGAAAAAAAATCGGGCTGGTGGGAGCAAAGCCTCAGTTGTTTCTATCTGAGATTAAAGAGCGCCACAAATCAGCCTCCCACCAGCCATGGGGAAGACCGGGGTTGACTAGATGTCTGGCTTTGACTTGGTCCTGTCTTGGCCAGGGCAGGCATTTAGGGAGAACTGTCTGTATTAGTGCAAAATCAGCCAAGAAAAACAAGAAACTGCAGTACATCTGTGCATTGCCATTCCTGACCCATGAACCAGAAAAATACCAAACAAAAGAGACAACCATCACCTGGAAAATAAAGATGACAAAGTGTGAAACTTTTTTTTTTTGAAGCTTTACTTATTATTTGAAAGGCAAAGTGACAGAGAGAAAGGAAAAGAAACAGTGAACACAGCCATTTCATCGGCTGATTCACTCCCCAAACAGTTGCAAAAGCCAGGGCTGGGCCAAGCTAAAGATGGGTGACTAAAACTCCATCCTGGTCTCCCACATGGGTGTCGGGGGCCCTGGCACTTAGTCCATCTTGCACTCCTTCTCAGGCACGTTAGCAGGGAGCTGCACTGGAAGTGGAGCAGACAGGTATTCACATCAGACGCTGGCATAGCAGGCCGTGGCTTAATCCACCTTGCCATGATGCCGTGCCTATGTGGACTTCTTCAGAGAGGATAGGTGTATAAATTACCTGACCCATGGCAGGGGATGTCAGGCACTGAGCACCCCCTTGCAATGGCTGACCTTGAAATTGTGGCAGGAGGACCTGGTGCGATAGCATAGTGATTAAGGTCCTCGCCTTGCACACCCAGGATCCCATATAGTCGCTGGTTCTAATCCCGGCAGCCCCACTTCCCATCCAGTTCCCTGCTTGTGGCCTGGGAAGGCAGTCGAGGACAGCCCAAAGCCTTGGGACCCTGCATCCGCGTGGGAGACCTGGAAGAGCTCCTGGCTCCTGCCTCTGGATTGGCTCAGCTCCAGCTGTTGCGCTCACTTGGGGAGTGAATTATCGGACGGAAGATCTTCCTATCTGTCTATGCTCTCTATATATCAGCCTTTCCAATAAAAATAAATAAATCTTAAAAAAAAAAAGAAAGAAAGAAAGAAAGAAAAGGAACTGTGGCAGGAGCTGAAATCTCAAACGCCTACAGGGCCAGACAGGTCAAGGCCCTAAGGAACTCAAGGATACAGATCCGAGCAGGCGGCCACTGGATTGCCACACCAACACTGTCAGCGCTGTCTTGCCATGTCTCCTGGCTTTTCAAGACAAGCCAGAAATTCCGATTTGTTGAAAATGTACTCTATCTTAGTACTAATGACAAAAGGCATTATTCTGTAGGTCAAAGAAAACATGTCTGATTGCTAAAAATATCATCCATGGCTGAGTAGCTTGCGATGCAGTCACACCTGGTGGCCCGTTTAGGAGATTGACTCCAACAACATCCACCTTTGCTTGGCTGCATTTATCCACAGCTGTGTGCTTGCTAAGGCAGTGATAGGACAGAAAGTGGGACTAGAGAGAGCTGAAAGGAAGTGATTACAAGGATGACGAACAGAAAACCAAGTCAGATAGACAAATTTACAAGCCAAAGATTATGGTGAAGCGGAGGAGTGACAATCTTGTGCAGTTTTTAGAAGCTAAAAGTTTTCTATGTATCCCATGAGTCAATGAATGTAAATTTTCTTTTTTTTTTTTTTTAAGATTTTATTTATTTTTTATTGGAAAGGCAGAAATACAGAGAGCAGGATAGACAGGAAGATCTTCCATCTGATGATTCACTCCTCTAGTGGCCACAACGGCTGGAGCTGAGCCAATCCGAAGGCAGGAGGCCAGAACTTCCTCCAGGTCTCCCACACGGGTGCAGGGTCCCAAGGCTTTGGGCCGTCCTCGACTGCTTTCCCAGGCCACTAGCAGGGACCTGGATGGGAAGTGGGGCTGTCGGGATTAGAACTGGCGCTCATATGGGATCCTGGCATGTTCAAGGCAAGGACTTTAACCACTATGCTATCACGCCCGGCCCTAAATGTAAATTTTCAAAAGCAATGGTATAACATCTTCTTCAAAATGTAGCCTAAAAACATTACAATCATGAGGCAAACAGATGAATTCTAGTAGCAAGGCAGCCTACCAAAAAAAAAAAAAAAAAAAAACCCCAAAAAAACCAAGCCAGCATTCCTCAAAATCATCAGTCACAACAAAAATAAGGAAAGTCTGAGGAAATTTCCCAGCCCACGACACATAAGGACATGTAATAACTAAATCCTGGTCTGTGGTATCCAGAATGGGATCTTGGAGCAGAAACCAGGAAATGCAGAAGGAACTAAGGAGATCCAACTAAATGCTGAACTTCAGCTAACAAAAGTGTACTAGTTTTTCTTTTTTTAAAATAATATATTCTTCTTATTTTGGACGATGTTTACACACAGACCACCAATTAGGGCGAGGAGGGTTGATGAATCGGGGAGAGTGGACAAGAAAACTGCTTCCAAGCTCCTCCTCCTTCCTATATCTGGGGAAAGTGGGGAGATAGGGGAGACGGCTGCTCCCAGCACCCCAACCGCATCAATACCCGGGAATGGGGGGACAGCACCCGAAGACATCCGAGGGCCCCTAATGTGGAGCATGCTCCAAGGTTGAGGAAATCCTGCCCAGGTCCATTGGCTGACACAAGCGACGTTAGAGTTTTGATCCACCCAGATACTCTGTCAGAGCCTGACCGGGAGCGCTGAATACTGGTTTCTTCTTAATTGCAACGATTATACCAGAGTAATGTGACGATGTTAAGAATGGGTAAAACTGGGGCGCTATGCGGTAGCCCAGCGGCTAAAATCCTGGCCTTGTAAGTGCCAGGAACCCATGTGGGCACTGGTTCTAATCCCGGTGGCCCCGCTTCCCATCCAGCTCCCTGCCTGTGGCCCGGGAAAGCAGTCGAGGACGGCCCAAAGCCTTGGGACCCTGCACCTGCGTGGGAGACCCGAAAGAGGCTCCTGGCTTCGGATAGGCGCAGTACCGGCCGTTGTGTCCGCTTGGGTAGTGACGATCTTTCTGTCTCTCCTTATATCCGTAAATATGATGTCTTTCCAATAAAAATAGACTTAAAAATATATATAAGTGATTTCTAATAGAATGAAACAATGGCCCCTCCTATTATACTACAATGACACACTTCGGTGCAAGTGTTCACATTTGCCGAGGTGCACCTGTTTAGACGCACAGGAGTTAAATAAATAAGCAAGACAACTCTTGCCAAGACGCACCGCCAGGTAACATTTTTGTAAGCATTTCTAAAGAGCCGGTCGGCAACAGGCGCCAGGGACGCGTCCACGGGCAGTGACGTCACAGCACAGCCGGCGGGCTCACGCCAGGAGACGCCCGCATGATGACGTCAGCGCGCCCAGGACGCCGCCCCCCCACGGTCACCCTGCAAGGCCCCTTTCCGGGCTGACCGAAGATGCAAATATATCTTGCTTGAGCTGATGTCCTGCTTCGCTCGGGAAGGGAAAATATCCCCATAGAGTGTGCTGGTTCTCCGGGAGAAACGTCTTTTCTGGGCTACAGTGTCTTTCGGACGGCGTTTTTCTCAGGCGGCGCCGCGGGCAGCCCGCAGGCCCTTGTAAGACGCGCGCCGCGGCCCCGCCCCCTTCCTTTCGGCCGGAGCCGCCATCTTCCAGGTAGGCCTGGCGCGTGGCTCCCGGTGGCCGGCGATCCGGCGGCGGGAAGGCGGGCCCCGGGGCCGCCCGGACGGGATGTGGAGGGCCGCAAGGGCCACTGTGTGTCGGCCGGAGCCCACCGGCGGGAAGGCGAGCCCCGGGGCCGAGGCCTTGCGCGGAGAGGCGGCTTGGGGTTGCCCGGGGAGGGCTTCATCTTCCTTCTGCCGCTTGGCGTGGAGCGCCCTGCCTGGCCGGCTGTCCTCCTGAGCTCTAGCGTGAGGGGTTTTCTTGCTCACGTAGGAGCTAACCTTACACGCCTGGGGAGTGGGCACCGCCTGGGAGCCGCCCGGGCCGCCATCGGACGGTGGTGGTTATCCCTGGTGGGGGCCGAGTCGGCCCGGGCCGCGAGCTGCGGACGAGGTGACGTGTAGAAAATGCTGTTTTAGGGTTTAGACTGGGGCTGGCATGGGAATCGGGCACGGGGAAGGCGGAGTTGAGTCGTTTGTCCAGTTTGTTACTGTATTGATTATACTTACGCCGTACCCCTCAGTGTAGCCCAGACGATGTAGTTTATGAAACTGTTACCCCCACGGTTTCCACGTGGGGCATCGTTGTGAAATGAGCTGGCTTAGCAGTGCAGGGTCGCGGTGCTGACCATGCTGTCCCTGGCTCCACGGGGTGCCTGCAGCACTGGCTTAGGAGCTCAAGCCCGAATAGGAAAGATTTAGAGGAGGGACCTGGGCCTGGTTGATTTAGAGGAGATTTAGGACAGGGGACCTGGGCCTGGTTGATTTGTCCAAAGTATAATTTGCATGCGTCCACTGTAAGCAGACCTCACGGTTTCCTTGGGCTGAGTGGGACAGTCTTGTCAGTGGACTAACCCAGTTTGTGTAAGGGGAATGTTTTAGTAGAATTGGTTTTTCCTTTAACGAAGGAGTCGGGTAGACCACTCTACAGGGTCACACCTCATTGGCCTGCGTCTGTTCATGGTAGGAATCTGTGCTGGGAATGGCAGTTCTGTCCTTGAGTAACCAGAGAGTTCCAAAATCAGTCTTCTGGTTGTTTGAGACCACAGAAGATGGCATTCTGAGTGCAAGTGAAGGCTGGTGTGATAAGTTGGCTGCTCTGGCACGCTTGAGGGTTCCAGCAGTTGTGGCCAGTGGTAGCTGGCGTTGCAGATGAGGGGAAGCCTAAATGCAGGTGTTGTGGCAAAGGAAGCGGGGGCTGCTGCACGGGATTTGGCTGGCTGTAAAGCTAGTCCTCTACGCCCACCCAGCCGTAAATAAATAGGAAATGAGATCTTTAATTAAATATTTGATGTAGAAAGCCAGTTTAAAAAAGGGAAACTTAATCCTTTAATGAATTGATGCAGATCTTGTCGCGTTGCTTTGGCAACGTAAAAACATTTGAGATGAGCAAGGTTCTGTTTTAAAAGGCTGTCAGTTTTCAGTTGTGTTTGAGTTTGTGTCGTTTTCTGGTTGCAGTAATTGGCCAAGATGACGAACACAAAGGGAAAGAGGAGAGGCACCCGCTACATGTTCTCCAGGCCCTTCAGGAAGCATGGTGAGTACCCGTGGCAGGCGTGTGTGTCTTACTGATGGGTGTGTGCTGGCATCTGCTTCGATTCATCCACTATACAACTGTGTAGTAGTGTCTTGACTACCCTGATTTTGCTGTCAGGGATAATTATCCATTGGCAGCTTGTGAAGCTTCATTGTGTATATGGTAAAAACTGATAATCTTTCTTTGCAGGAGTCGTTCCTTTGGCCACATACATGCGCATTTACAAGAAAGGTGACATTGTAGACATCAAGGTATGCTAAAAGAATGGAATGCATGCTTTACGAATTCTGTTCTTTAGAAGCTAGTGCAAAATTGGAAAATATCATGAAAAGAGACTCCAGTGAAAGCTGTGTTATGGCGTGGTACTCCAGAGAGCTTAATGATGAATTTCTCTTTGATTGCTTGAAGCAATATGAAAAAATACATTTCACCGGCTCTGAAAGCTCTTGAGTTGCCAAATCATAAGAGGGGCTGGGATTGTGCTGTAGTGAGACATGTTCTTAAAGTCAAGGTTTCAAAGGAAGAGGAAGTTGCTGCTGTAACATTTGTGTCCCTTTTTTTAACCAGGGAATGGGTACTGTTCAAAAAGGAATGCCCCATAAATGTTACCATGGCAAAACTGGAAGAGTCTACAATGTGACCCAGCATGCTGTTGGCATAGTTGTAAACAAGCAAGTCAAGTAAGTAACTTCCTGCCTTTTTAACTGATGGGCATTTTCTCACGCCCCCTTTTCACTTTGCCAATTAGACTTTCATGTCTTTATTGGTCATTCAAGTGGGGCAAAGAAATTATCCTTTTAAAACTCAGGCAGACTTGAGTGTTTGTCTTGTAACCTGTCAGAGGAAACAAGCTGAAATGGAAAGCCTTATGTGACTAGGACTAAGCAATTCTAGTTCCTATGATAAATTGGAATCTTAGATTTTGTTGGTCTGTTTTTTATTGGAAAATTAATGTTTTGAGCGTGTTGTCCTATTAGCAGAGCTTAAACGGGCATTTGCCAAAAGATTGATGATGGATGATAATCAATTAAACCATCATCTTGTTGATTTATCCTGTCAAGGTTTAGGGGGAAAAAAGAGACCCATGATTTATTTAACAAATGAAACAGCCTAATGACTTTCTGCATTTGATGCTTGCTCTGTGCAGGGGCAAGATTCTTGCGAAGAGGATCAATGTGCGCATCGAGCACATCAAACACTCCAAGAGCCGGGATAGCTTCCTGAAGCGGGTGAAGGAGAATGATCAGAAGAAGAAAGAAGCCAAAGAGAAAGGCACGTGGGTGCAGCTGAAGCGCCAGCCCGCCCCACCCAGGGAGGCTCACTTCGTGAGAACCAACGGGAAGGAACCCGAGCTGCTAGAGCCCATTCCCTACGAATTCATGGCATAACAAATGAAAGCAAAATAAAAGACCTCTAGACTCTTATACAAGTGTGATGTCTTGTTTCCCATGGGAGTGCGTAAATCACATTTTAACTCTCCTGGTTCATTGTGTGTAGCCTTTCCTGCTTAAGTTCTGGGGTGAGCAGAATTGGTTAGGAAATGGACAGGTGTTAACTTTCAAGTGTTTTAGTTAATTTTTCAGTTAAAAAGCTTGGTAGTTTCAAAATACTGGCATTGGCCATGAAGGTTGATATCAAAGGAGCAAATACTGTTCTCGTGTGACATGCTGAATACCAAGCGGGAGTCAAGCTTCTCAAGGCCCGACTGGAGGGAGCACACAAGCTAGCTCGTGTTCTGTGGAAGTAGAAATCAGACTTGCCCAATGTGTGTGTGCTACTCCAGCTTGGGAACTGCTGCCCTCTGTCTTTGAAGCAGCAGCCTTCTGGGAGCAGTGTACCTCAGCCAGGCTGTGATTCTCCAAAGGCTTGTGTCATGACTGACTGGTTGGTGAGGCCTAACGGATTTGTTTTGAGTTGTGTTTTCTACTATTCAACTGGAGAACAAGAACTCCCTTGTATTCCTGGTGTAGCAGGTGCTATGGGTGAGAAAAAGCTTAATTGGCCTTATGCTTTGCTGGAAAGGGAAAATGATGTAATTATCAATGTACGGCAAAGTAAGCTATGCATTGCTGTCTTAAACAATGACTGCCCTATTGGCCAATGGGAAATTTCCATTTCTTGGAACCAAAAAGCAGTAACTTGGATCTTTCTTGGTGTGTTCTCATCCAAGTTCTAATTGAGAGTCTAAACTAACATAGCTGAATTCTATTTCAGAACTTAGTATCCATTCCTGCATTGTCCACACTCTTTCCCATCTCCCATCCCTTTAATATTTATTTGAGAGGGCAACAGCTGGGTTTGGGCCACACAGTTTTTTTAAAAAGCTGGAATGGGAGTAAGTGTCTGCCTTTCAAGGGTCATTGTGAGGATTAGAACTGCTTGTTGCATACTTAATGTAGTATAAGGTGAAACTAGCTATTTTGTCATCAACTAAATGCAACTGATAACTTTATAGGGGTGCATGTGGCCCACCCTTCACTGAGGCAGGTATATCATGAGATTGAGTGGTGCATATGGTTGAGATCTCTGCATTGGAGTAATAGTTAACACCACTAACAGTTTATGAAAGATGTATTTTAATTCTTGTGCCTATTTTGAGGTGTGTCTGTCCTGGTAGATGTGTAAAGAAATCGGGCCTTGTACCATGGCTCAGTTGGCTAATCCTCAAGTGCCATGAGCCCACGTGGGTACCGGTTCATGTCCTGGCTGCTCCATTTCCCATTCAGCTCCCTCCTTGTGACCTGGGAAAGCAAAGGAGGATGGCCCAAATTCTTGGAACCCTGCACCCACTAGAGGATACCTCTAGCTTCATATCACTTGGCAAGTGAACCAGCAGATGGAAGATCTGTCTCTAGACCTACCTTTCCAATAAAAAGAAATCTTAAGTGTAAGGAAAGAGGAACTGGCATGTAGCCAGTAAAGCTGCCTGTGGTGCCGGTGTCGCATATGGAATTCAGTTCAAGTCTGTATGCGCTCCAGCTCCGTACTAACTGGGAAGGCCGTGGGGGATGGCCCAAGAACTTTTGAGGCCCGTGCCACTCATTTGAGAAATTTGAAAGAAGCTCCTGTGTCCTGGTGTCAGACCATCCCAGCTTTGACCAGATAGGCGATTTGGGGAGTGAACAGAAGGATGAAGATCTCTGTCCCTCTGTGTGAGTTGACTTTCAAATCTTTAAAGGAAGATTCTGAGTGTGCTTTCCTCATGCCAGCTTCCTAATCACACCATCCAGCTGCAGTGAGTGGGATGTGTGTGTTTTAAAAGGGCTTTGGGGGCCTGCTGTGCTGGCTCTATAGCTAATCTGCCTGCAGGATCCCCTACTCATACTGCTTCAAGTCCCAGCTGCTCTACTTGGGAGTTCCCTGGCTGGCCTGGGAAAGCAGCAGAGGATGGCTCAGGTCCTTGGGCCGGACACCCACATGACCTCAAAGAAGCTCCTGGCTCCAGACTTGAGATGAACTCCAGCTCTGGCTGTTGTGGCCATTTGGGCACTGAACTGATAGATGGAAGTTACCTGAATCTATCTCTCCAAAGTCGCAAAAAAGCTGTTCAGATACACAAAGAATTGGCATGTGTAATGTATGTGATAGGATAAAACTTCACCTTTGACCCTTTGTAAACTGCTTGCTACTAAATTGCTTCTCCTGTATTGTTTTAATTTATGCTAGAGGTATTCGGAAAATGAGATTTGTTTCTCCCAGTTCCTTTGCTCCCATCTGCCTTGCTTGAGCCTGACATGCCTGTTCTCTGCTCAGGCTGAGCTTCATGATGGCACCTTGAGGGGAGGGATGCAGAAGAGACTTGCACTTAGGAGAGGGATTTCCTCTGGTTTGGTTTCATGGAATGAAATTCTCCATGTGGCTCCTGTAAAACCTTTTTTACTTACCTCAAAGGCAGATGTACAGAGCAGAAGAGACCAATCTTACATCCACTGGTTCACTCCCCCATATGGGCCACAACGGCGTGGAGCTGAGCTGATTATGAGCCTCCTCTGGGTCTCCCACGTGGGTGCAGAGTCCCAAGGACTTGAATCATCCTGCCACTGCCCTCCCAGGAGGAACAGGAGCAGGATTGAAATTAGCCAGGATTAGAACCAGTGTCCAAATGGGTGCTGGCCCTATAGGCAGAGGATTGGCCTGTTGAGCAACTACCCACCCCAACAGATGTTTCTAATTTTGCTCAAGTGACTGTAATTTTTGAAAATTTGTCTCCCTCACTACTTGGGGACTGTGTCTGTATATTTTCACCTTATGATCCATGGTACACAAGTCTCTTTGAATTAGAGGATAATGAGGAAAGTGTTACATTAAAAAATGCATTTTCTTTATGTTCAGTGTCCCTATTGACCTTATGAGACTATTTCTCTGTGTATTGAGGGCCAATTATCCATTTTTGTCATGGGGAATTGATTGTTAGGTCCCCCACAGGATGTACAAAGGCCAGGAAACCTGAGAATGTTTCTGTTTATTCCCTGGCACGCTTTGTCAGTGAAATGACTTAGAGGCGTTTGGACCAGTTGATTCCCAGAGAGGCGTTGTGTACCGAGGGTCTAGGATTCCATGTGCTGGACCGACAGGTCTGCCTGCTGGCTCGCTGGGTCGGGCTGAAGCCAGAACCCACAGTTCCTGGGTCTCCCACGTCAGTGGCAGAGCTCACACTAGAGCTGGTGTGGGATGTGGGGATCCCCAGTGGCATCTTGGCTGCTGCGCTAAACATCTGACCTGAGTCTTTGTTTTCTAAAGATTCATTTGAAAGAATCATGGAGTGGGAGAGACAGAGATCTTCATTCACTGGTTTGTTCTGCAAAAGGTTACAGTGGCCAGATCTGAGACAGTCAAAAACCAGAGGCTTTTGGGTTGGCCACGTCAGTGCAGAGTCCAAGTACTTGGGCCATCCTCCAAAGCTTTCCCAGACACATTATCAGGGAACTGAATTAGAATTCGAATAGCTGGGTCTTGAACCAGTGCCTATAGTATGTGCGTTCCAGTTCCAGATGGCATGCTGACAAAATGATTTTCCAGGCTGGTTTGTTTGTTTGTTTGTTTTTAAGATTTAATTTTTTTAAATTGAGAAGTCAGATATACAGAAAGATCTTCCAACCGCTGGTTCACTCCCCAAGTGGCCACAAGAGCAGAACTGAGCTGATCCGAAGCCAGGAGCCAGGAACTTCTTCCAGGTCTCCCATGCAGGTGCAGGGGCCCAAGGTTTTGGGCCGTCCTCTACTGCTTTCCTAAGTCACAAGCAGGGAGCTGGATGGGAAGTGGAGCAGCTGAGATATGAACCGGTGTCCATATGGGATCTTGGGTGTGCAAAGCAAGGATTTTAGCCACTAAGCTACTGCGCCGGGCCCTGCAAGTTGTTCCAATGGTTGGCACTCCAGCTTACCATGAAAAATTCTTGTCTTGAACACTATTACAATGTGGTGCTTGCTAAATTGGGAGAAAATGTCACATTTGTTTATTGAGTGTGACCTCAGTTTTGGGACACTTTTCTGTTTCTTTTTCCACCTCTCGCTGTATCTCATTTTTCTGACCTTTCTGACCACTAGGCTGTTGTTCTGGGCCCAACTGCCAAGATTTTGTAATTGACATTTTCTCTCGTGCATTGCTTTTCCGTCTTAGGTCCCCATGGCCTATCCAACTCTCCCCCCAACCCAGCTTTCTTCAGCCTCCACCCAATTTGATTCCCTGTGTTCTTTTTTCTGTCCCGTAGAGTGCTTCCCACTGCCTAGCCTACTTTTGGAATGTGTAAGTTTATCAGCGTTCCTCTGGGAGTCTTGATTAAGATGGAGAATGTTCACAGAACATTGGGAACGGAAGCAAACACCAGGAAGACCTATGAAGGCGGTGACAGTGTAGGAGGAACAGACAGCAAGACCCGCCTGTCCGTGCACCAGGCGGAGGCGGGGAGTCGGGAGAGAAGAGAAAACTGAGTTAGGGTGGCCTGGCCTCTTGTTCCTGCCGTCCTCCTGGACTCCCTCCACCTGCCGCTTCCTTGACTTCAGCCTACAGACTCGGGAAAGCTGGCACACGAATGAAGCAGTGTTTCCTGTGCCTTCCTGGTTCTTCTCGTAGCTAAATTTCCTGGTCGCCTACTGCAAATCTGGCTTCCGCCTCCGCTGCTGTGATGCGACTGTACTCTCAAAGGTTACCAAAAACTTGCTAGTTAACACTTTTAATTTTAGCTCCCTAATATTTGGCGAGGCGAGTGCAGGCATCAGCTAACGCAGTTTACTCAGAGCACTCTCTCAACAGCCCTTGATCTACTGCATCTGTCACTCTTTTCCTTCTCTGTAAGTCCTACCTGCCTGGCTAACCCAGGGGTTCTCAAAGCGGGCACCAAAGGCAGTGTCAGAACTAACTGGAAGCTTGTTGAAGATGCAGATCTTCCCCAGACTCAGACTGAGGCTCTGGGAGGAGCCCAGCA